TCTTCTAAAACAAGAATGGAAAAGCAGATAAGCCCTGTCTCAGTTACTCTTCTCTTGTTGCTGGGACAAGTACCCGACACCCAAAATGAAGGAAAGAAAGGTCTGTTCAGCTCAGTTACTGGAGGTTTCAGTCCGTACTTGGCCAGCTCTAAGGCCGAGCTGCACATGGCAGAGGGCAACCTTCCGTGGCGGTGGCAAAGAGCAAGAAAGCAAAATGGAGGAACAGCAGCAACGGTGGCAACAGAGAGCAAGTCTGTTTCTCTGTCTCTCTTCTGTTACATTCAGGCTGTCTGCCCCTGGCAGGGGAAGTGCTCACACCCATAATCCCAGAAGTACTCAGACCCATAATCCCAGCCTTGGGTCACCTATAATCCCAGTGGATCATGAGTTAATCTCAAACTCTAGAAGTCCTTACCCCATGACTACATGAAGTTTTCGGGGGACAACTAGACACAAACCATAACAAACCCAAAACATTTGGGTTCATTGTTTGCATTTTTCAGCTAGACAAGTTTTCAAGTCACTTGGCGATGCCCAGGGACACAGTCCCAGGGAGGTCTCTAACATCAGCCCCGGGCTGGTAGAGGCCTAGAAGGGCTCTGAAAAGGCACAGCTGAGTCTCATGCCCCTGGCCGCTCTCTTCCTGGTATTTTGCTGGTCTATGAGCGGACTCATCGTGCAGCTCACAAGCAACTGGGCAGGCCTTTTTTCTGACCTCCGGAAAGTTCCCTCCTCAAGCCCCTGGAGTATCAGTCTTGGACTGTGCCTCAGGAGGGCCTGACGGCTGTCGGCCAAGCAAATCCTGAACCTGTCTCTCGCGCCAGAAGAGAAGCCGGGCCTCCTGTCTGCACTGCCTCTGATTTCGTCTGTCACTAACCTCTGCGGAGTGGCTGTGATCCTGGCATCGTCATGGGGCCAGAAGCAGTCCCCAGCGGACACCCAGGCAGGGGGAAGGTGAGCACCCCACGTCCTCAGGGATCCTGCCTCCCGTCGCTGCCCTCTGCTATGGGGAAGTGCTCCTCCACAGTGCCAGGCCCTGTTCAGCTCTAAAGCATTCGCCTGCCACACATCCTGCAGCTACTGAAGAATCTCCTACTTCACTTCCTCGGGGAGCTTGTCAACGTTATGACAGACAAGAGAGCTGCACAACGAAATCCGTCTTCTGGCAGGAGGCTGTGAGGTCAGCAAGAGCAGGGTGCAGAGTTTAGCTCTGTGGACCTTGGTTTCCTCCCTGCCAGTGAGGAGTGGAAGAGCTGGATCTTCAAGCTTTCTTTTAAGGAGCTATTTTAATTCTGATTTGTTCGGGAAAGTGGGAGAAGCCCCATATGCATGTATATCACAGTACAGAAAATCTCCGTAGCAACAGTCTGGATTTAAGTGATGTCTCAAAGTATTAGAAAGACATTAATGACATTTCTCAAAAATTTAAATGGGAGGTACTATCTTCTCATTCCACTACACAGCATCCCACTACAGTTTTTAAAACTAATGATATTTGGGGGAGGCAAGATAGCTCCATGGACTGAGCGCCTGCTTAGGCAAGCACGGGGACTGCAGTTTGATCCCTGGCACCACATGGTACACTGGCCCTGCCCCCAGGGCAGACTGAGTCAGCCACCAAGTCCAGGCAGAGTAGTGTATGCCTATAATCCCAGGTCTAGGGAGGCTGAAAACAGGAGGATCACTATGAGTCTGAGCTGCATAGTGAGACCCTATAACAACCAAATACATTAAAAGAAAAGAAAAACAACTAATGACATTTATTGCAAGGTCATTCTAACTAGTGTTGAAGCCGCTTCCACCTTCATTTGACCTTGGAAAGAAATAGCACATTAGCATCGCTGCCTTTGACTCTGCTTGGCTTCCCTGCAAGGCTGCATCCCTTTCCGTAGTTTCCTCAGCCCACAAAACACACTCGAGATCCCGGCTCGCCCCTGCAGTCTCACGCACGGGCATGGACGTGCTCCCGACTCGCTTCTGCAGTCACATGTGCGCACATGGGTGGGTTCCCCTCACTTCTGAGCCACCCTCCCCACCCCCCACGTGATCTGCAGTCCACTGCCGTTTCGCCAGAAGTCAAACGCAGAGCTTCCCATTACAAAATGATTCTCAAGGTCATTCCCTGGGTTTAAGAAGGGACAGCATATACCCAAGGCACTCCCCTGCCCTTTCAAAGGGGACCTGAGAAGAGACGGAGGACGCTGCTAGTAGGACAGCGGGTCCCCAGGGAGACCGCCCTTGTCATCCCATCTCTCCTGCTGCCTGTGCTGCTATGAGCCCTGGACACCCACGGCCACTCCTTTCTTTCCACAGGAAGGAGAGGGGCAGAGAGAAATCCTGCCACAAGTGTCACCCTGGGCAGCTCCCTGGGACAGAGGCTTCTCCCTGCAGGGAAGGGCCCAGAGCTGGGAGAGTCACCCCAAGTTCCCCCTTCGCCCACTGGAGACACTGCTGCTGCACTGTCCGGAGTGTCTTCGAGCTTCCTGGGCTCTCCTTGCTCTTATTCCTTCTGCGCAGTGCACACACGTACCTTTCATGGAATATCTAGACTGCGTGTCCAACCTTCCAGCCAGCCTGGCTCACACCGAGTGAAGAGGCGCTGTCCCAGAGCCACGTGAAAAATGTAATCTAACTAATGTCGACGAAGCAAAAACTGCCTGAATGCTCAAATTACTTCATGAAATATCACAGCAAGCCTGAGTTTAACAGTTAAACAAGGAGACCTCGGTGCCTGCGCCACAGCAAGGGGCATTCATCTTTGCAGCCACACGCACATGCAGGGAGCCCGAACTGCTGCGCCAGTGGCCACTGATCCCCACACTGTGCTCACCCATTGCACACACACGCAGCCTCTGGCGCACAGGGCTGGATGCAACTGTGCATGGGAGGCGGGTCAGCGCACGCATGTGTGCACACACGTGCACAGACACATGTGTGTGAGCACACACACGCCCTGCACAGCACTCACTTGTCACTGTGCAGTGTGCTGGAACTCACAGCACAATGTGCCAGGGGCCACAGGACTGGCCGCCTCATGTGGTCCAAAGGCTGCAGGTTGGAAATGCCTTGGGTGGACATTAACCTATTCCTGATTTATTCTAATTGCAAAAGTCACATGATCTACACCTTGCAGATGCCCAGTGAGGTCCCCTGGCCCATGGCATCTCTCACCCCATGGCAAGACTCTTGTTTTATTTGTCCTGGTGGAGGCAGATCATATTTATTGTATTTGCTGCTAGCTCAGCTCCACCCCTGCTTTGCCCCAGACAAGCCCGATGGCACAGCAGTTCTCCAAGATTTTGCCCCCCAACCTCCAGGGCCAGGCTGCATCCTCACCCTCTTATTTTAGCTGGACAAGTAAGTGCAATGGTTGGTAAACTGTTAACAAGTTCTCCATGTTTATGTCATGCCTAAGCATGCTAATACTTTTAGTCTTGAAATCAGACAAAGCTGTTTCCCTCGCTGGGGCAATGCTGATTGGTAGTGATTAGTAGTGACTAGCTTTGCCAACCACCCCAGAGAAAAGCGTTCTTTTCTCACTAGACCTTGACTCGCGAGGACTCTGAGGCTCAGCGACTTTGCCAACTGCTCAGACTCTCAGAGCTCAGTGGGAGAGCTGGCATCCGAAGAGACGAGGGCAGGGCCGCAGAAGCAGGGGCTTGGTCGTGAGAGGACATCAAGCTATTTGAACATAGGCTTGATGAGAGCGTGGCAATCTGTGCTTTGGATTTGCAGGACTGCTGTTCCCGGGGACAGGCCAGCCCTGGGGCAGTGAGAGGGCTGCCACGAGACCCAGGCCATTGCTACACTGGCACCCACCCCATTGCTCTGTGCTCCTGAGGAAAGCCCACAGGTCCCTGGATTTTTATCCATTTCTGTTCACTAAAGCTGGCGTTTTCCCATAATTACTGGCTGAGGCATCAGAACTCAGGAGACTGAACAAGCCTCAAGGCATCTGGTGAAAGCCTCACTGGACATAAACAAGACTTTTGTGGTTTGAGGCCCACACTTGATAGGTTCAGGGGAGTTCTGTGTGTCCCTGGCAGGTGCCGAGTGGAGCCCCGAGCAGAGGTCACGGCTGCGCACACAGGCTATTGTACCACAGCATCTCAAAATCGCAGAAGGTGTATCTAGTCAGCTTACCTCTGTTAGAAATGTTCCTTTTGTATTGTTTATTTTAGTTTATTTAGTTCACTTAAAATCCATATTCAGAATTATTTTGTCTGATTTTTAAAAAATCAAATCAATATAAAAATGTTCCACTTTTCTTCCTGGGTAGATATCTATGTATATCAAATTTAAACTGAACTAAAGGCAATTCATTTTATAGCAAAAGAGACAATTATGATTATGTTTTCTGGCCTATGATTTAAGATGCAATAACATAATTACAAAGCATGTGTGCAAAACCCATGGAGAGATAGCACGGTCTCCCTGTCTCACCTCCGCAGGGAACACATAATCAGCTTAACGCAGGTAGGATGAGGGATTTGGAAAAGGCAAGGAGTTGTTTACTTCTAGGAGAACACGGCAATCACGAGAGGCAGTGCAGGCTGGGGGCTCAGACAGAGACCCAGGGCAGAGGGAAGACAGCAGGTGCAGTTCTAGCTCTCGCAGCTGGGCAGAGACGTGGGGTGCTCCAGCCAGTTGCGGATGACAGCATCCACAGCAGACGGCTGCGAAGGGACAGCATTCCCAGGGAGCGGGGAGACCCGGAGCTCAGGGCTGAGGGTGGAGATACGCTGAGGCTGAAAGACGCCCCACAGAGGAAGAAGCACCAGGGGCGAGAAGGAAGGCCAGGAACCTCCCTCCAGATCTGAGACGACAGCCCACGCTGAAGACATCTGCTCTGCACACCAGATTCCTTCCCAGGGCGTGGCATGTGGAGGGCAGCACAGTGGGACAAACAGAACCAGCCGGCATCTCCAGGCATGGGACAAATAGCCGAGTGAGCCGCGGCGCTGCAGGCCGGGAGCGCCCAGCGGAGTCCAGGCCCTTACCTTGTCTGGGTCCGCCGTGGTGATCACCCAAACACAGTGTGCGTTGTCCTCGTACTGCACCGGGTAGTTGGGCGAGGTGATGACGCCGCTGGGCCCACGCAGATTGGACCCGCACGTCCTCGCTGCAAACAGACAGAGTCAGTGTCACTTTCTGCAGCATTTCACCAGTGGGGAAGGGCCTCAGAGTCCACGGCCTCCAGGCTAGCTCTCAGCACTCACGATGGGCAGCGACTCACAGACTCAGGCTGCGAGTGCACTTTGCTCAGCCTGCAGGACCCTGGCTCGGAAACCTTAGCATGTACTAGAGAGGCTCGAATGGGTGAGGTCTGGAGTGGAGTCAGGGCTCACAGGACGAGCCGGTGGACAGCGTCCCGGGCAACACCAAGCCGAATGAGCCCACTTCAAGGCCCGTTCTATTTGTTACACCAAGAAAAGTCTCTGTATCTATCTAAAGGTTCTGCATGCACCCTGAGCTGCACATGGATGCGCTAAGACACCAGGCACAGAACAGTTCACAGAATTTTGGGCTGGGTTACCTCAGCCTGCTGTCCACCACACAGACTTGAGCAAGACACCCCAATACCACAGCTCCGCCCCTTCAGGAGTGAAGGAGCACAGCAGACAGCGTGGCCTCGGGTAGGCTTCAGACTCCGGAACACAAATCAACACCGATTTCTTTATCAATTTCTTTAACACCGTGCAAATAAAATGGAATATATCACTGGAAGTTTAAAGAAAGAAAATAGAAATGATGGCTCAAGTAGCCAAAGGAGAGTACTGTGCTCTGATTCTTCAAATTGAAATGAAAGACCAAGTGAAGCACAGAATGATACAGGTGCAGAAATGACTCCATTTGGGAGATGAAAGTGCTTCAACTGACCTCTTTTTCTAAAGTTTTCTCAAAACAGTAAGGAAACTTTGAAAGTCTAAGGTTAACCTGGAGTCTGGGCTTAATGATGATGATTTAAACTAGGTTTAAAAATGAGAAAGAAAGACATTTTCAAGGAGTGCGGTATGGGAGAGCTCTGTGTCCTTGTCCTAGACCCCAGTATCACATGACCCAGCCCGGCTGAGGGAGGTGGTCCTCGCCACGTCCTGCTCCGTGACTGAGCACAGCTTCAGGCCAGCATTGCTCTCGGGCACTCAGCTATCCCTGGTGGGCCCGGGGCCTTTCCCGAATGAGGGGCTCCCTGTGGGGTCAGGAGCAGCCAGTCCACGGAGCTGTTCTGAAGCTTTCTGGAAATAGATGTTTCTCCCTTCCACGTGTATTGGCGTAAGGCAGTAACGGGGCAGGGTGACACACACCTGTGCCCTCTGCTAGTTCTGCAGGGTGACACACACCTGTGCCCTCCGTGAGTTATTCATATTGCGGCTACTCCCCATTACGAGGGACCATTAATGTGCACTTCTGCCTTGACTGGAGGGCTCTGAATTTCTCAGCAGTCCTTCACTCTCACCTCACATGTGTGCGCCACAACAGACAGGACCTTCACCGTCCTGACATGTGAAGCTGAGCAGGGACCGCCACAGGCATCTTCCCGGTTGCTTAGTGTTTACTGCAGAAACTGCAGCTGGAGATCAGCCTTCTGTACATTGATGGAAGTGTTTTAGGAAAACCGGCATTTTCCCTCCAAATGAGCCACAGTTTTAAATGAAGATGGAGAAGGGCCAAAGGCCACTGGAGAGCTGGGTTCTGACAGGAACTCACGTTCTGATTGGTCTACCTTAGCAACGATCAGGAAGCGCAGGGTGACAAGTGCTTGGGCAGCACTAGAGCATCGGGGACCAAGACATCACCAGGCAACCTGCGCTCTGAGGCCCCTGCCACGTCTCCACACTTCGTCGTGTTGCACAACTAATGTGTCCAGAACACAATACAGGGTTACGCAGGAAACGTTTTTGCTTTGACAATGACTTGTTTTTTAAAGTATTTTATTTTGAAGACAGTAAAAGCAATAAAAATGGTACAGAATTTCAAAACAAGATAATGGAAGTTAACAATGGTTATTATTTAATATATTGTTTAATCGTCAAAGTAGTTGTTCAGATTATCAGATGTAGGCCCGGAGGAATGAGAAAACAACAAAAACACTAACTGGTCCTTTCAGTGGACTAACAGAGATTAGAAGTACGATGCTCTTAGCTATCGTGTGTGTGTGTGTGTGTGTGTGTGTGTGTGTGTGTGTGTGTGCTTGTGCGCGCACGTGTGTGCATCTCTATTGCATACGCACCCTCCTTCCTTCCCTTCCCACCTCCCAGGTGTTCCTTCCTCGGAGCAGTCTCTTTCACTTTCATTGTTATCTGTTGCACCTTTTGGATCTTACCCTTTTGGTTTCTTACACTAGGAGACAGTGGGGTTTACACCTGTGAGTCTCATTTACTTCACTTATGAGTACGGTCTCTAGTAGCACTCATTTACCTAGAAAAGCCCCAAGTTTATTTTTTGATATCTCAATAACACTCCATTGTATAAAAATACCAGCTACACTGCTATTCTAAATGCTTCAAACTCTGAGAATCAAGCCGCGCTGGAGACGAGCACACAGGGAGCTGACGTGCCCACCACACCGCCCACCTGCGCCCACCCACATTGGCCTGGCTGTCTGCCGGCCGGTTCACCACACCGAGGCCCTGGGCTCACCCTGTCCCAGCCACTGGCTTTAAAACTGGCTTAACCTGACTTGAAGCCTGACACCTCATGAAATCTACCTTGCCCACCTCTTGGGGAATATATATATATATATATATATAGCCTTTTTGAGACAAGGTCTCTCTCTGCAGTTCAGGCTGGCTTTAAGCTCACTTTGCAGTTCAGGCTGGTCTCGAACTGGCTGGGATTGTCCTGCAGCTGCCTCCCTCGCAAGTGCTGGGATTGCAGGTGTGCACCACCATGTCCAACCAAGTCATTGTGTGTTTGGTTGAACTATCAATTGTAAAGCAGTCTAGGAGAACCACCTATGTCCAGTCCCGAAAACTTTCACACAGGGCAAGTCCTTACAAGCTGTCTTCAACCAAAATTTGTGAACTAAATCCTTAGAATATTTTGCATGCATTGTAATAATGAATTATTTTCATTCTTTTCTAACATGCATCTTCCAGCAAGCTAGCTATCAGCTCTCTGAAATGAGGCGAGTGCACGTCCTCAGGATGGGGCCGTGGTCTGCTGTGCTCATTTCTAGCTTTGCACCGGAACCCAGTGCTGCCGTGGGCTGTTTCCTCAGGAGGCACCCTCTGGGTCTTCCGAGCAGGTACAGTGATCTTAGGCCATAGACTCCCCCTGATCCTGCTTCATTCCAATCCTCCTCTTAGGGAACTGCTGAGCGCCTCAGTTGGAGACTCCACTTGAGGGTCGCGACCTCTTCACCCCCATTACCTACTGCATAGCCACATCAGGAGCCGCATGTCCTGCACATGGACTCAGCCGGGTTGACACTCTGTGCTGAGTGGCTAGTGAAGTCCTCAGGAGGAGCACAACTAGAGGACTGCTCTGATGGGAAGGGGACACTCTGACAGCCACAGAGGAGGGAAACATCTTCCCTTATGATTGCTTCTGCTCCAAGGCGGTGTGCAAACAGCCACAGAAGCATTCTGTGAAGTAATCTCAGAGTACTGGGCCCAGGAAAGCCTGCAGCCAGCTCTTCACGTACCCCATCACCACAGGGCAAGCGTGTGCGCCTGTCCACATCTACAGTGGAACGTCGCCTCCAGGCCCTGCCCCAGCCCTGGCCCTTGTGAAGATCTTGTTTGAAATGTGGTGTCACCTATATTGAAGGCAATGTCCAAATACATGCTTAATAAACGTCCTTGGATAATAACCATGACCTGGCGCATAATCAATGTGACTCTGTGGACAGAGTTTTAAGTGTGTAAACTCGATTTCACTTGTATCTTACATTTTCAGCTAAATTTAGAACTCACAAAATGAAAAGTTGATCATATGATACATTAAAAGGGAACGTGGATGGGGGAAGATGATAAATCAGTTTTCAATGTCAACATAAGCCATTTGTCCACTTAACTGATGAATATGTATTAAGTACACAATACAGTTCTTTCAAATGATTTATCTCATTTAATCTGAAGAAATTATTCATTTATTTAAGTTCAGTTCCAGAAAATCTTTTCTGTTCTTTAGGAACCATTCAATTAATCAAACTTTTTTTAAATTTTTTAATTTTATTTTATTTATTTATGTGTGTGTGTGTGTGTGTGCGTGTGTGTGGCCAGCTCAGTCCACGGGGGGAGGGGAGGGCGGGGCTGGCTGGCATGTGGTGCTGGGGATTGAACCGCGGTCCCTGTGCTTTGCTAAGTTTGTTCTAAGTAGGTGCTTTAGACCACTCAGCCATCTCACCACCCCCTAATCAAACTTATTAAGGGCAGAAATATCTTAATCAATCAAATAAATTTAAATCGGCCACATACCTGAAACTTTATCTCAAGTAAATTAATATTAGATTTCTTGTTTGGCATATTTCTTGGCTGTGTCTTGTTTGTATGAAAGTGCATTTCTTAAAAAAAAAAAAAGAAGTGCATTTCTTGAATGAAAATTTATTATTACCAATAATAATAAAAAGTAATCTGGAGAAAAATATTTACTCCTTCATGGCCTTAAAGCACAAGAATCTCCAGCCCATTATCAATATTTCTCCAAAATTAATAACCGTGTGTACCTATGTGTCCTGCCCTGTTGGGACCTGAACCCAGGAGCTTCCCACGGAGCTGCTTCTCCGGCCCCAAGATGTGCTTCTTCTTTTGCTAGAGAATGGAGCAAAGTCACCGAGTGGCCCAGGCTAGCCTCGACCTCGAGCTCCGCCGGCTGCCTGAGCCGCCTTGCTGATGGGCTCACAGGCATGTACCCCTGCACCTACCTGCCTCTGTGTACACTTCTTCAAACCTCTGAAATGGTAGCTACCTAGTCGAATAACCAGTCTAGAGCTGTAACTTTAGCGTGACCGGACACCAGGTGGACAGAACCATCTTTAGATGCAAATACCTTTTAGTTCCTATTTTGCAGATCACTCCAGCACGGGGCTGGGGTAGTGGGCGAGAGCTGCAGGAGCTGTAGTAGCTCCTCGGACACGACAGGTTAATCCGTCAAGAGGAATTCCTCACCAACTTAACC